CCAAGAGGTGCACATGAGGTTTTATAGGGTTAATTACATGTATGGGGCTATTAGGCAATAAGGCTCAAACAACAAAAAGCAAGGAATCAGTACACTGGAGCTTATCAACTTGAAACAGATCACGTTACTGACACTTGTTGAGCTTGGATTTACGAGTTAGCTTGTTAGTCCAGTAAATTGACACTAAACTTCAGATTTACGAGTTAGCCCAGCAGAACTTATATCAGGAAACCGACACGTATCACACTTAGATTTGTGACTTAGCTTGTTAAAGCAGCTGGGCTTTTCCTTCACATGAGGACAGCTCTCCCACACCCAGGGACCTACTGTGAGCCCGTGATGGTTCCACTAGGGTGGGGTGTGGTTTACCCAGGAGGGATGGGGACTATGCACCAACACTCAGGCAGTCTGCTCTGTCTGGGGCTCTGATCTTGTACCACCCGCTCTCCACCAGCTCAACACCTGGGACAGTGGAAATAAGGCAGAGATCAAGCCTGCTTGTTTCCCAGCGTGTAAAAGGGGGAATATGTACTATTCCCAAGGTAGTTCTGAGAGACAACACCTGCGGGTTTTTCGTTCACAGAGCAACAGAAAACCCAGCACCGCGTGGGGGCAATGGGTGTGATACCCATAGGGGTTCTGCAGAGGCATTGGATGGAGGGCTGGACCAGCGAGGTATAACTTGAGCTGCCAGCCTTGAAGGGTTAGAGAAGGGTACAGAGGCAGGACTGCCACCTCCTTCGGGGTGCCCCCAGAGGTAAAGCATTTTTCTCCATCTCCGCTACTCCCCTCCCCTCTCCATATCCCTCCCTTCTCTCTGCTTTTCCTGTTCATCTGTCTCCCTCCACTTTTTCCCTCCTCTCCTCCTCCTCCCATCTTCTCCATCCCTTGCTGCACCAGCTTCTCTCTCAAAATCCAGAGGATCACTGGCCCTCCTCCGCATGCGCAGTCAGTGCCTGCTGGACCGCGGTTTGGAAGCTCAATCTCAGATCCGGGGATTGGCACGAAACGCTTCTCAGCTCTGTCGCCCGGTAGGCCTTTGGCTCCTGCCCAGGGCCGGGCTTCTGGCTGTGGAAGTGCAAGGTGGGGGGCTCCCGGGAAAGGGGTCAGGCGGCTGCGGGAGGGCGGTTCGCCTGTCACAGCCTGCGAGGGCGCGAGTCAGCGTGTGTTCAGCTGAACTGCTCGGGCCAGACCCCTCTGCCTGCGCCATCTGCCCCGGCGCCCTGGCCACACCTGTCCAGGGCCAGGTGTGCACCTGCCGCCTCTCGCCCCAGCCGGGCTCCCATCAGTCCGCGGCTGGCGTCACCTTTCCCTCTCCTGCCTGTGAGTCCTCCCCTCCCAGGCATCCTCTCCTCGGCCACTGACCTGTCCCCACCCCTGGGCTGGCTGTCTCCCGGCGGTAAGGATCTGCAGACCCTGACAGGGGCAGGCGCCTGGGGCTGGGGCTGGCCTCTGAGCAGGGCTGCAGCTCGCGTCCCCACCCCCACACACGCTTTCTCTGCCCCGCGACCCAGGGGCTGCCCTCCTCTCCCTTTCCCGCTACCTGAGGACTAGCTCATTAGCGTGGGTGCTGCTCCCTGTGCTGAGAGCCCCCTGCTGTAAAGCCCAGCTTCTCCTGGTGGAGTTGGGAAAAGGGAGCGCCAGTGTTGAGCGAGCTTCTGTCTCCTCCCTCAGTGTTTCTGCCCGAGGTAAGTACCTTGAACAGTTTCAGGTGTTATGATGGCGGTGCTTGATGATGTCATTGCTTTTATAGTGAGAGGGATTACAGTGTTGAAAGCAGGGCTTGGTTCAGTTAAAAATGTGCTGAAGGCATGAGGCTGTGACATCCTGTTTCCTTCCATCTCCCAGGGTGAAACGTGTGACCGTCGATTTTAAAAAGATAGTTACAGTCCCTAACTAGCCCAGCCCAGCTAGTGTGTGTTAACAGGAACAGCACCACCAGAGGATTTGGAGACCTAGGGACATTGCAGTCCTAAAGAGCTCCTGGCACAGTTTGGTTTGTTTTGGTTTTTTGTTTTTCTTAAAATGTGGGGCAGACTAGTTTTATAGAGGGAAAAATAATTGTCAAGAAATAGTTTTTCATATAACAGCTTTATTGTGATATTGTTCACACACCATGAAGTCCATACATTTAAGTGGTACAATTCAGCAGCTTTAACATATTCACAGTTAGGCAACAATTATTATTCCTGAACCTTTTCATCACTTCAGAAATAACAGTGGAAATGAATGACATATCCACCCCTCCCCAGTGGTGGTTCTAAAGATGTTTCTTGGCTATTTCTGACCATAGATTAATTTGTTACATTCCATGAAATATCTGGTAGGAATTCTAATCAGAATTGCATTGAATCTGTCTATCAAAGCAGGAAGAATGAATGTCTTTATGGCATAAACTTCTTCTACCCATGAATATATCTGGGACCCTATCTGTTCAACTGTCCAGAGCCTGGCCCATGGGAAGTGCTCACTAATTGTTGGGCTTGTGAATGATGAGATTTTGTACATCGTTAGTTGCAACTGTAGCCTTTCACAGAAGAGAAAGGTAACCTCAGTGAAGCCAAGTGACTCTCTGATGGTCAGAAAGAATGACAGTTAGTGCTGGAGTCATCCAGTGGACTTGGTGTTTGCAGCCAGTATTCTCCACAAAATACAGCTAGGGGAATTAGAGTGTTCTTTTACTTTTTCTTAATGGCGTTGCTTTTATTTTTACTAATTTTTTTAAATTATTTTTTATTGAAGTATAGTAAATTTACACTGTTGTTTTCAGATGTACAGCAGAGATTCAGTTATAAACATATGCATATGTATATAAATATTTTTCAGAATGTTTTTAGTACAACTCGTTACAAGAAATAAAATATAGTTCCCTGTCCTATATAGAAGGTCCTTGTCATTTATTTTATATTTATTAATGTGTATCTGTTAATCCCCCCTTTCTTTCCTGCTAACCACAGTTTACTTTGTATGTCCATGAGTCCATTTCTAGCAGCACCGTTTTTCCTAGTAATATATGCTGGTTGGCTGCTTTCAGTTTCAGTAATTCCATCTTATCTCTGGGTGCTTTTCTTCTGATGGGCTTTTATGTGGTTTGCACAAGTAGTAATAGAGATCTGTATTTGGGAGAACTCCAGGCCTCGTGTAGTCCCTTGTACAGAGTGCCCACTGAGCTGATGCTTGAACTGGGAAAAAAGCACAGTAAATGTTGGAATTTCCACTATGGTTGATACTTCCAGGTTTCTATAACCTGTTTAGCCCACCTTAATATTGGCTGCACCCATACTAGGTAATTTGGTGGAATTTCATGGTATGGTGGTGTAGAGACAGGGCCTTGTATGCTTCTTCTGTTTCCTTTTTCTAACATTGCTTCTCCTGGGCCTCAAGGATCCTGCCCCAGAAATGCCCAGGGCTGGCTTGTTACTGCGCTGAGGCAATATTTGTTAATAAGGCCCTTTCCTCATCTCTTCTGAGCCTCCATTTCCTTCTCTGCACAATGAGGGCTTAGACTAGATACGTGCTATTCAGTTTCTTTTAAAGCCATGTTTCCTTTGAGAAACAGAAAGTGCAAATCTCTCCTCCCATTCGAACCCTTTAGATTTTGACACATCTTCCAAGGAGTGACATAGCTCTTTGTGGAAAATCGATGTGATTGTGATTCCAGGTGGCACAGAAAAGACTCTTCAGAGATTTACTGCAGGGAGAGGGCAGGAAAGGGGCAGTATGTCACACTTTCTAGTTTGAGCACTGGAGCAGGGGCTTGGGTTTAAATACGATGTCTGACGTGGCCTCTCTCTAATCTTGTACAATATGTTAAACTTCTCTTCTTCAATTTCTTAATGTGTCAAGTTGGGGTGATAATACTTTAAGGCTTTTCGGAAACATTATACACATAGGCCGTTTGTGTCTCTGTAGGAACAAAACCTGCTAGGGAATCAGGGATTTCTTTAAAAAAAAAAGAAATCTTGTCCATAGCACTCTGTCTGTGCGTATTTGGAAGTTTCTAGAAGGTGAGGGTTGAGTCTAAAGTCCATCGTGGGACAGGTGGCCCATTGTTTTCTGTGCCCCAGTTTGCCCCATCCTCCCCAGTCCTCTTCCTCTCAGTCCAGAATGAAGTTCCCTAGTAGATTTACACAGAGGTCTTGAGGAAATGATTTCTCATTTTATTGTTTCACCAAGAAGGGCTTCCATCATGATCTCTGTGGTCAGGTTTTGGTGACCTGAAGGCTATGCAATTGGGGGTTTCTATTTAATAGAAAGAAAAATAATTACAAATACAAAATTAGACCTATGGTGTTGGCAGGGGCTCTTGGGAGTGGGGACCATTAACTTTGTTAGCTTCAGGTGCAGTGGCCTCTGGCCACGAGGACCCATCCTCGTGCTCTGAAGTTGGAGGGACCAGTGGGTTCGGTGGGAATGTTAACTGAATGTATCTCATGGGATGGGCTTTGTCCTATTTGTACTGTGTGTTCCTTATTTGAGGTAGTGAGCTCATTTAATCTCAATAGCCTCTTTAAAAATTAGGCTTTTTTTGTGAGATGAAATGTAGATTCCCATGTAGTTGTAAGAGATAATATTGAGAGGGCCTATGGACAGTTTGCCCAATTTTCTTTATTGGTTCCACCTTGCAATGTTGGGGTACAGTTAATTACTGACTCACTAACCCTTTGAGGTTTGTGTTATTGACCTCATTTCTATTTATGATTAAACTGGGGCTTAGAGAAGCACACAGTCCTGCCCAGGTCACCCACATGGTTAGTGTAGAGTCGGGTGGAACGTGGGCTTGGGATTTCCAGTCAGTACCATTATGATGTACTGTGGCAGGGAGCAGCGTCCACTTTGTATGTTTATTCATTCATTCAACAAACATTTATTGTGTAGCCTCTGTGGGTCACATGCTTTCATAGGGTTATCTGATTCTTCAGCAGTACTGAGAATCAGGTAATATTTTCATTTTTTTAATCTGAGAAAATTAGCTCTGAGAAGTTATAACTACCCCCAAAGCAAATATAGCTCATAAAGGAGCGATAGTAAATTTGTACAGTCTCCCATTTTTATGCAGGTGGTACCCTAGGCGTTTCACAAATACAAACTTCCGTAATCCAGATATATTATTCTAAGGTAAGGATTTTATTTTTAATTGAACTATAGACAAGTTTACAATGTTTTGTCAATTGCATGGTGTTTTTTGAATTTTGAATAAAAAATAGTTTTTGAGGAGGATAATTAGGTTCATTTACTTGTTTCATTTTTTAAAATGAGGTACTGGGGATTGAACCCAGGGCCTTGTACATGTTAAGCACGTGCTCTACCACTGAACTGTCCCATCCTCCCCACGGCAAGTATTCTAATCCATTATTCTGCAGTTTAGGAGTTCAAATAAATTGGAGTTGAAATCCAGATCTTTTGACCCCATTGTGGTTCTTTTCGTTATATTCTGCTGAAGTGGGGTGGGGAAAGCACATTCTTTGTTCATTTGTGTATTCAGCAGTTTTGAGCACTGACTTTGCATCAGGGTCTGGCTAGGTGCTTGAAACAGAAAACAAGAAATGACCCTTCTCTGCAGGGGCAGGAAGCCTAGACCAAAAGCTGGCTAATGTGAACCAAGCTACGGTAGCCATGTGCAGACTCTGAGGACAGACTGTACCCCCGGCTTTGCTTGGGTTTCCCTTGCCTTGTGGCTGGTACACACCAGGTCACCGCAACCCACAGGGGTCCACAGCCCACAGCAGAGTATGTACCTCGATCTCCACTCCCTTCTCGGCAGGGCCTGCAACATGAGAATCCCTGACTATGTGCAGTGTGCTGAGTACTACGAGACTCTACCCGTGGTGGTCCAACCCGTGGGGATCATTTCAGGATAATTTCTTTTGCATCTATAATCGAAACTCCTTGGTGAGCCAGATCAGCCCGTGCGGCTCCCTGTGGGCACTCTGTATCCACTACAGGCACCACTATGTGCCCGAGAATGGGTGGAGTGACTTTCAGACCCACCGCAAGGTCGTGGGCCTTGTCACCATTACCGACTGCCTCTAGGCCAAGGCCTTTGAGAAGCTTCACGTGCAGAGGAGCTCTATGGCACCACGCTTAATGACTCTCAGCTCTTTGACTTTGTGCTGCATGGGGAGGTAGCCGAGCACCCGTGCACTGATGTGACCTTCAGTCTACGAGGACTGCAGGGTGGTGGAGAAGAGGATCGAGGACTTCACTGAGTCACTCTTCATCTTGTTCAAGTCCATGTGGCTGGATGGGGCCCCCGAAAGTCTGGGGACAAGATCCCCCTCCTCTGCGTCCTGTTTGAGAAGGAGGACTTCATGGGACTGGATACAGACAGCAGGTAAGTCTGCCTGGAGGCCCGTCCGCCCTGGCTGTGTGCCAGGTTTCTTCCCTACATCCAGAAAGGGATCAGCAAGGAAGAGGGCAGTCTTGTAGCCAAGGAGGTAGGGAGGTGCAGCCCGCCTGTTTACAGACATTTAAAAGTGAATCCGCCTTTGTTTCAGAGAGATCCTTTTAGGGTTAGTGTGGACAGTTACTCCTGCTTTTCAGCCAGAACACCTGGTGGGACCCCTTGAGTTGCTGTCCAATAGAGTAGCCACAGCCACTGATGCTAGGAGCTCTGGGGAGGAGGCTGCTCTGAGCTGAGATGTGCTGTAGGTCAAATGCGTATCAGATGCTGAGACTTGTCTAGTAAAAAATGTAAACTATCTTGTTACTTTCTATATTGACTACATGTCAAAATGATAGTATCTTACATACAATAGATTAAGTAAAATCTGTTCTTAAAATCAGTCTCTAGTATTTGTTGTTTGTTTGTTTGTTTGTTTGTTTGTTTCTTTGTTTACCATTTTAAATGTGACAACTGGGAAAGTTTCTTTACATGGCTGTCATTTCATTTCTGTTGGACAGCCTGTCCTGGGACCGTCTCATCCCTTTGCTTATCAATGAGATGCTGAATCCCGAGACGCAGAACGAGGCGCTGGTTGAGCTGGGGGTGGAGCCGGGGTCTCTTGCCTCCCAGGCCCAGCACCTGCACAGCTCAGAACCTCTATTCCTGCCTGACAGCCACCATGCCAAGTTTGGACATCAGAAACACCGCCAGGGACTTCCAAATAAACTCTTTATGCAGGGAAAGGCGTATCACAGAGTATGGGACATTGCAGGGAAAGGTTCATTCTCACTTTGTCCCTATGATTAAGTCAATGGCCCCATTTTGCCTCGGAAGTGCAGACGAGCTATTCTGGGCTGCCTAACCCCCCACCTTCTGCTCTGTTTCCCCATATATCTATCATGCTGTCCCTCGGGCAGAAGAGGGTGAGATGCCTTTCCCGAGAGGTGGTTCCCCTTTGCTGGGGAGAGTGAGGGAAGCTGTATCCCCCGGCCTACGGCCTTGAGCCTTGAGTCTGGAGAGTGCTCATGGTGGTCCCACAGGTGATGGTCAGAGGACCTGGCACGTGCTGCCAGGCCCGCTGTGGAGGCAGTGCTCTGTGATTCTTGAACTTACCTAAGATCAGATCCTACTTTCTGGTTGTTGGTAAGTTGGAGGAGAAGATGCCAGAGAATTGATAAAAAGAAACTCCAGACCAGCCCTGTGAGTGATAGGCACCGGGGACCCGAGTCCCACCTGCGTGTGGTGCCTGGTGGGCTCTGGACGAATTTGCAGTTTCTCCTGGACATGCCTCTATGGCTTAAGGTAGGGGTAAGTCATGTAGTGGCCATGAGCTGTACTTCTCCTCACAGGGCCCTGTGATTTACATGCCTGCGCTCCCCTTCTGCTCCTTAGAGATAAGATGGCAGGTTTAGGAGCCTGGGCAGTGCTGAGGGCACAGCTGCCAGCACCGTGCTACACCGAGGCTGGCTGCATTCACCTCACCTTCTCCTCCTCCTGAGGCCCCAGGCATTAGTCAAGATAGGTGCATCAGTGCAACGTAAGCAGGGACCACATTCTCTCCCTGGACAGGCTGGTGGGTGAGCAGTGGAAGCCTTGAGCCATGCCCCAGGCCCCTGGCCAGTGCCTCCTCTTTTGTCATAGGAGGCACTGGTGACATTTTTGCTCAACAACTGCTTGGCTCTGAGTCTGCAGACCCACCAGAGAATGCCAGCTTGTTTTTGCCATTTGAAGTCTGACCTTGGGATTTGGCAGAGTAGCTGGATGTGTGCTTAGCCCATAGTGGTTCACACTGTCACCATTGTTTACCCAGAGCCTCGTGTACCAGGCATGGCTCTCGGCATCAAAATACAGCAGCGCATTAAACCTCCCTCCTGGTGGGTTTGTCTGTTTTGGTAACATAAGCACTCATCCAGCATCTGAACGTCCTTGAGAATTTGGCCAGTGAGCTCGGGTCAAGCATGTTCTCCACCAGTCAATTTACTCCATTGTTGCTTTTGCTATTCCACAGTCATTAATTTTTAAAACAATGCTTTGGTTCAGGAGCACAGCCTAATTCTCTCCTGCTACTCTTGGTGGGAGTGAGTAAAACTATCCAGCCTTAAATGCGACCACATTTTGTGGCTCAAAAGCTGCCTAGACGCACCTAGGTGGAGTTTTTGTAAGGGGCGCTGACCACGTTGGGGTCCCCCAGCAACACTGCTCCCCTCAGGCCCCTGCCTTCCCTGGAGCAGGAGGTGAGGGTGGGTCTCACATTCCCCACGTCCCTGGCCTCACACACTCACGTAAATTCTTGTACATGCTGTCAAAGTCATTTTTGTTCTTGTGTGTTTCTAATTTTCTCTTGTTCCTCCTTTCCTTTTTTTTTTTATTCCGCTTTCTCTTCTACCGCCCTGTGAGCATGTTGTTGCGTCTGAAAAGGTGGTCTGTGCACACTCTGCATTGGAAATAGCCAGATTGCCCTCCGTGCTGTCTCCATCACTTTAAAAAGCAAAATCTTAACAGTGGCCTTGATCCATGTATTATCCTAGTCATCTTTTTATTTTCTAATTTTTTGGAATATTTGCTTTGTTTGCATATCATCCACTGGTGTTTGATACCTGTTAAAATCCTTGCTTTGAGGAACCTGTTTCGTCTTCCTTATGTTAGGCACCCTTATTAAATTTGTTTGATTGTTTTGAAGAAGTGAGATACGAATTGATTTAGGCGGCTGCTGAGGGATCCTTTTCATGCAGTATAAAAACTTGTAAAGTTAAAGTCTGCGGCATCTTGCTCGATTCCTGCTTTTACACAAACGTGCTCGGCCCGTGGATCCTGGCTGTCGCTGTGTGACATGCGTGACGGCGCTTCCTCGCAGGTGGTCACTGGTGAGGAAGTGAGAGTCTCCGGGGTGAGCAGCTGCAGGGGACACTGTTGGAGGAAGCAATCACCATTTATTTATTTATTTATTTTTTGTATTCAACTTCCCTGTGCCATTTACTTTGCCTTGCCTTTATAAAGGGACAGAAGCGGGTCTAAAATCCATGCCACTCTTTTGTTCCCTTTACGAGGCTGGTTTTTCTGACTATCAGGACAACATGGTCTTCTCCTAAGTAGCTGGCTCACCTGGATCTGGTGGACACAGGGACCGCTAATGGGGACCGTAGCTTCCCCTCTGCTTCAGCCAGTAGGCTTTCAGAGCCGTGTCTGTGGTTTGCCTCAGCAGCCGTGCAGGCCTCCCTGCACCGGCCTTTAGTTTTAACCCAAGTTGGCAGTAAATAAAAAAAAGTGTCTGTTGCCGCTGATGTCCACCACTGACGGCCATGTCGTTAGTTTGCGGTAGTGAGTCCCCAACACCACAGTCTGCCTTGAAGGAAGATGCTTTGTCCGACCAAGGACCTTGGATTCTCATCCCTACCCTTGTTCATCTCACCCGGGGGAAGGCTTTGGCAACCACCATCATGCTGATCATGAGGCCTTGTTTCTCCTTTCATGCTCTGGTCTAAATGTGGACACTCAATTTTTCACTGACTTGGTCTCGCTTGAGACACGCCAGACTTTCTGAATGAGTTTATCACATTCTGGGTGGGGAAAAGAGTAGAAGTAAGTGTCACAATTAAAAGGAGTCTAGGTTATCCGGGTTGGCAAATGCAGACTGGGATCTGTGATGGCTGGGCTGTGCCCTGGACACAGGCGTTTCCCGTGGCTCCCGACAGCCCAGGGGTCGGAGTGAGAACAGACTTACCTGGGTTCCTCCATCCTCATCTGCTCACTGGCAGGTGAGTCGGCTAATTAGTAGCTCCCCCAGACCTCGGGTCCTTCAAAGCTCAAAACATGAGGGAAACTTGAGTCCCTTCTCCTGGGCCTCCTTTGTGAGAATCCAGTGCCTTCTGAGGTGACCAGCAGCAGGAGATGCCTCCCACTCCAGGGAGCACCCTTCGGAGGACTGTGACTCAATGCACCATGCTGTGAGCTTGTGGGGTTACGGCCAAGGTCCCTGCAGAACCAGACTTGAGATGGGCTTAGCTACGGAAATAACAGGACTGATTCCAGGGCAGGGCTTGGGGGAGGGAACAGGGGAAATTGAATTTGACCTCGAACACCTAGGTGGGTGCTGGGGCTGTTACTAAAATAGGGAGTCTGGGATGTAACTGCCTGGAATCGAATTCCAGAGTAAATGGTGGACATGAGGCATTTTTAAGATGCCATTTCTCATCCAAGATAGGACTTCAAAGAGGCACTCGGTTCTATGAGTCTGGGGCTCAGGTGAAGGAGCCAGACTTGAGATACATTTTGGGAGTCGTCATTCCTAGTTGGTGTTCACAGCCTTGCATGTGGATGAGCTCATCTCGAGAGGTGCAGACTGAGGATGAGGGGGGCAGGGCTGTGCCTGTGTTTGAGGAAAGCCCCGACCATGAATCTTTGTTGTGTCATTCTGCGGCATTTGCGATTTTTGGAGTAATGCCATTTATCCTCATGGGGTCAGGGGGTGGGCAAGGCCAGCCAGGAAGAAATCTGAAGGGAGGGTCATGGCCACGTGTGTGTCTTGGGAAGATGCAGAGTCTGCAGGGTCCAGGTGGGTAGAATCCTCAGAAGGTGGAGTTGGATTGGGGAGTGGGGTGAAGGTAGTCACACTCACCTGTGAGGGAGGGAGGGAGTCCTAGGGAGTCCCCACCCTTCAGGATTTGCTTTCCCATGAAAAGAAGGCAATCAGACAGAGGATCTGAGGTGAGAAGGGATGGGCGCTGGGAAGGGAGCCAACCTGGAGAACGGTGCTTGGAAAGTTCTGGAATAGTCTCCCTGCAAATTAGAGTTAAGAAAACCCAGACTCTTAAGAACATTGACAGTGACTGGGAGAAGGCAGTTGTTTTTCTGTCTTCCTAAGGGTAAGGCATGTATCCGGGGATACACAAAGGAATCGGGCATTCTGTCCTGGGGACTTGATCCTTACTGGGGTAACAGTGCAAGTTTAAACGGGGAGAAGGGCAGCAGAGGGAAACTATTCAGGCCCCTGTTCAGGTACCAGTCGGCCGCCCTACTTGCATGTTGCATTCACACCCATGCCTCCCAGGTGGGCGGTGGCAGCCCCCTTTTGCAGATTGGGAAGCATTCTCAGAGGGGTTAAGGCATTGGTCCATTTAGCGGCTAGTAAATGCTGCAGCAGGATTCAAGCAGGGCCTTGTCAGACTTCAAGGGCATGTTCTCTCTACTAATTCTGGTACCTCCCTGTTTTACCTGGAATGGTGAAGTGGGTCAGTTTTGGATCCTTTCAGACAAAGTACGATTTAAGTGCCTCAGGACTGTTTCACAAATCTCAGCGTTCTTTGATGGTTTGGAAGCACCGCAGTGCTTTACACTCCACAGATGTAAGGTCTTACTCCTTTGACGATGACGTGGTTGCAAGTGACGTACAGGTGCAAAACCAGACTTAGCAGCTTCTGAAGGGAAACTCTCCAGTTCTCCCTTGATAGACTTTCTTCCACGGGATGTAACTGTGCTGCAGCATAGGCCTGAGCTTTCCATATGGAGTGAGGGTTTGATATCCAAATTTATCATAAAACGGTCAGATGAAGAAAATCGACATTGATAATTTATTTTTGGGTTTCATTAGTCAAGATATACTGTCAGTTAATGGCCCATATAGTGAATGAAATTGAGTACAGAACATTGCATTTCTTACTTTCTATTTAGAGTTCTCTTACAGCATAAGGTTGCCTGCTTTGTAACATCAGCCCCACCACCAGGGCACCTGTCAGTGTGTTGGTGTGATTGCATTTATACAGTAAATGTAATCTGGGCTTCCTCAGCCCCACACAATCCAGTGCAGAATCACGGGCTGTAGCCATCTCTTAGTCATGCAAATACTTGTAAAATTATATGATGCCAGAAAAGAAAGAAGAGAGAGAGAGATTGCCTCTATCAAATTTCCTTTCATTTCTAACTGCAAACTGTTCTTGAGCAGCTCTAGTTTCTTTGTATATGAATATATACATTGCTTTGCATGTAACCTTGGTTTTGGACTAGAACACCAAGCTCTAGCTGTCTACAAGCCACAAAAATAGTAGTCAAATTGCACACGTGTGAAATAGTTTATTCTTTTTTCTGACAAAGAATCCTTGAATTTTGGACTTGGGCTGTGATTCTTGCTTTATGCTTCCCCCATCCCTCTTGAAATCTCTCACTCCTTCCCACATGGCCCCCAATAGGTCGTGGTCTCAAAGGAGCAGGCAAACACCCAGTTGGTCAACATGCAGTGCTGCTATAGAGGGAGCCCAGCCAAGACCTGAAGGACATTATCAGAGAGGACTTCCTGGAAGAAATGGGCCCTACATTCAGTTGTGAGGACAGAGTAAGAGTCAGCCAGGAAAAGGCACCAAGAGTGTGGCTTAGGTGGCAGGTGCAGCCTGGGTTGAGGCCTGGAGTCTTGTGGAGTGGGGATTGGGGGAGAGTGCCCTGTGTGGTCCAGGGTGGAGGGTGCCTCTGCTGGGGAGGCCCCTGGAGAGGGC